TAGTACCAAGAACCTGTTTCTCACTAGAAACATACTCACCTCCATGGTCCCTCCTTCCTTTCAAACCCATCTGTGTGACCACTAGGCAGCTGGAGCATCACAAGTCCACTCAGTGTAGCACAGTATACTCCGAAGTGGATTGGCCCATAGATTTGGGGCTTCATGGGGCTTTAAGGCCACGCCACTTAACTCCTTCAAGATCCTGCAAAATCCTCACTGGACAAGAAAGTTTTAACTCCAGAAAGGAATCGGGCCTATTAAAAAAAATACATCTGTGTGATGGGAGTTCAGAACCAGATAAAGTGATCCACAGGTCCCTGAATCAGTGTGCTTTTGCCACAAGTGTGCTCAAAAACCTGGCTTCTGCACTTATACAGTACTGATCTTGGGAAGAGAAAGGGGCAGGTCAGAGACAGGCAAAATGTTATTTAATGGGCTCCTGTGGGCTCCTCCAATTTTATGGACGAAGTTAAAAATCATCCTCTACTAGAAATGGCCCTAAAACACAAAGTTCAGATCTGGATCCTAACTTCCTCAAAGTTGCAAGCAGGTTTTGGGTCAGAGCCATGTCTAATCTGTACTACTATGGCCTTTATAATGAATAGCCTCACTGCGGGATCACAGTACTGGTTTCATTCATATTTACATTGCTCTTTTGAAAGACAATGCACATGATTTAAATAAAGTGTTGGAAACTTTTCAGGTTTTGAATATTTTGCCTTTTGTGGTTTACAGCCCAAGTAGACAAATGCTATTTCACCTTCAAGTCATTTAATTTTTATCTGGCTTACTAATACATGAAAATCAGAGGGACTGCTCATCAGTACTAAATGGAACACACCCATCAGAGGCACTATAGGCAGCCTGTATCTCCCTGAAACCATGCACTGTGTTGTTTCATGACACTCACTCAACCACACACAATAAAGCTCCCTCTTCTCCCTCCCCAGCACCTCCCTTTTACAAAAGCTTACACTCACACATGTAAACAAATGAACAATTGCACTATGTGTCTGGCAGCCTGTAGCTCTCCTTCTGATTCACAAAAGGCACACCCCATTGAAAAGATCCATTTGCAGGGAACTGGAAGCAAGCACACATATTAGCAAAGCCTCATTTCCACTTAACACAAGTTGCTCTGGTTACCAAAGCAGCTCATCTGGGGGGAGGGAGGGAGCCCTTTTTCATTAGTTGACCAAAAAAAAAAAAAAAGGCCAACCAACGACATCTTCCTTCAGAAGCTACAGTAATGTAATGGTTTGGGAGACCTGAGGATCAGGGGCTAGGAGGTAAATTGTAGGAAGAGCAGGAAAATGGAAAAGAAAACTAGCACATCTTTAGTCCAAGAACGGCTCAGATCCCATAAACCACTCCAAGTGAAAAATGAAATGCAGAAGAAAACCAACCCTTCCGCCCAGTTGACATCCAATTAACTCACTGACATACACCATGGAACCTTATGTTCTATACACACAAAAGAGTGCACTATTTCTTTAAGTCCTCCTGACAAGGAATCCAGAAAATGGTAGAAGTTGCCATACAATTTTTATGCATCTTATAATGTAGCTCATGTTGCCAACGTATTTTCCTTTTTCTAGTACCCCTCCAAAAAATGGTCTTCCACATCTGTCTGAGAAGAAAACTAGATAGGACAAACCCATTGTGACTGCAAAAGAAAGTTGTCCAAATGATTTAAAAGGCCATACAGACGCACTGTCGTTCCCCTGTACTTTATAGCCACCTTTGTCCTTGGCTCAGAAGAGAAGGAGGAGGAGCAGTTACTTACATTGTAAAGGGATAGCTCAGTGGTTTGAGCATTGGCCCACTAAACCCAGGGTTGTGAGTCCAATCCTTGAGGGGGCCATTTAAGGATCTGGGGCAAAAAAAATTGGTCCTGCTAGTGAAGGCAGGGGACTAGACTTGCTGACCTTTCAAGGTCCCTTCCAGCTCTATGAAATAGGAATATCTCCATATATTATTATAACGTGAGTTCTTCCAGTAGTGTCACTGTGGGTGCTCCACATCAGGATATACCCGTGCCCATGTGCTCTTGATCAGAAATATTCGTCAGCAGCATCTGCAAATCCTTGCTTGTGCCCTAGAAAACCTTGTGCCCCAATATAAGGGTACATAAGAAGAGGTGGACCACTACCACTTCAGCACCTTTTCAACAACTAAAGAGGTTATTTATCTTGAACAGTGAACAGTAACTGGAGTTCTTCGAGACGTGCATCCCTACAGGTGCTCCACTAGCTGCCTTCTTTCTCCTCTGCCTCCAAGTCCCTTGCTAGACCTTCATGACTGAGAAAGAACTGGAGCGGGGGCAGGGTCCCCCTTCCCTAGATACCCTTATACTAGGGCACAAGGGTGTCTAGGGCACAAACATGGACAATTCTAACAAAAATCTCTGATTTTGTGCATGGGTGCACATATCTTGACATGGAGCACCCATAAAGACATGACTTGAAGAAGAACTAGGAGGATACTGGGAAAGGAAAACTATATGGATTACATTGCACCAGGGTTAAAAAAAAACCACACAAATAAAAAGACATCACACTGGCCTGAAATAATTGCAGATCCAATATCTTATGGTCCACAAAGGGCTAGAAACAAATGAACGTTTTGTATCACTTCTTTTTCTTAGCGTATGCGCAAGGTGCCTCAGGTGGCATGTAACCAGGATTCATCACCCGCTTTAGTCTATTGGGTTGGCTCATTAGCTTCCCTGGCCTGGGCCGGGTACTGAGAGGGATCACGACATGAAAACTGGGAATATCAGATAGTCAAGATAGGTTGTGAGATCATAGACTCATACAATCATAGAAGATTAGGATTGGAAGAGACCTCAGGAGTCTCTTCCAGGAGGAGATATCAAACATTAGCAGAGCATTAAATTGATTCAACATCTTCCTCTTGCACTAGCTGAATTCTGACATGATTTTTATCACCTGCTATCTGAAGAAAAGTTAGATCTAGAAAGCAATGCTTTTTACCACCTGAAGGCATGGAGGAAACCTAAGCAATCAGATGGCATAAAGTAATAATCTTTAGCAGTTTGCAAAGATTCTTAGTGATTGGACTAGTATGAATGCTTTCAGGACTAGTACAATTTTCCAAGCAATAGCCCTAAATCACTGACCAAAGAGGAAATATGTTGATTCCCAGCGCTAAGCCTGCTGATTCCAAAACAAACTTATAAATCAGTGTCCATGGGCCTGCTATGCTCTCCTCCGCTCTGCAGCAAGGAAGGGCGCAAACGTGTGCAAATACCATCCAGATTAGTCCAAGCAATATGAAAAAGAGGGCAGGAAAGGGATACATTGTGCATATTACCCTTCCCCGCCACGCTGAATGCAGACCCCTGTAATCTCACTGTAGGGTTTTGAGCAGCATAGCTGGATGGGGCAGAGGAACACAGAGGATATGGCAGACGCCAAACACATTTTCCCCTTCAGCCACCTGATGTTCCAAGCTGATGACCTGCTCTTCCATCTTCTCGTTACCGTTCACGGTGCTGTTTTTGTGTGTCTTCTTGGAGCTGAGCAGTAACTGTTTGCAGTGCTGTGGTGCACTGGAAATCCTCCTGATTGTTAAGGCTGCTCCTTATAACAAGAAGGTCAGCTCCGTGGCTTTTTAACTCCCCTTTTTGAGAGCTGAGTAATGCTCAGAGATATTAGTGGCAGTCATGCTGCTTGAAGAAGGGGGAGTGAAGGGCAATAGTGCATCAAGATGCAGGCACGCCATAGAGATGTCCCAAGATCTGGGGGGTTGGTGTTGGAATTCCTTGGTGGTTCTCATGCTCTGCACGGGCCTGATACTACATTTCCTGCCCCTTCCACACCATGGCTAACCCTTGCCCCATGAGAGAACATAGCAATTCATCCATGCCCTCAACTTTGCAGGTTTCTTATAGTAATTTTTTGTCTCCAACACCTGTATGCGGAATGGAAGAAACGGTTTGGTATTTCTATTTGGAAAGGAGGCCACAGGATTTTTTAATGATTATTTATAGTATTTTCAGGGATCACAGTTTTACAACTGTACCGTATTTTCACCCTTACTCAATACAAAAATGCAGTCATTCCTTTTGAATGCGAGCAAAATAAAGGCCTGGAAAATTAGGAACAAAGATGAAAGATGAGGCTCTTCACTGCAATTCATATTTAAACCCTCTTTATTTAGGAAATGTTAAAACAAAACAACACAAAGTAGCCTGAGTGACAGAAGTGCTGATTTTGCTGTTATTCAAATATTGATGCATCATTCATAGCTCTGGTTCAGAAAGGAGACTTTATTTATTGTTTTAACTGCACCAGTTTAGAATGTCACCAACAAAGCAGTTAAGCCAGCCAAAATATTAAAGATAAAATAAAATTAACAGACCTCTGTAAGAAGTCTGATATTCCAGGTGAAGATTTTTAAAATATATATATAATTGAAAGGTACCTATTTAACATAAAAATACTACTGCAGACTGCTGTAAAATCTGATTACTGATGTCAGTTCTATAACAATAAGAGATTGTACAGGCATTTTCCTACAATCCACTATATTTTATACAATACCTTTCTTTTTACAGGATCGTATAATACAGTCTCTGATTCCCACAAATACTCATGCATGTGAATAACTTTAAACATGAGAAGCCTCATTGATTCAACTGGGACTAATCATTTGCATGAAGTTAAACACACGCATACATGTCTGCTGGATAGTGTTTGCTCGGGTAGTTAATTTCAGAAACAGAAGTACACTACATATTTTTGTTTTTTTCTCTGGATTTGCCATTAAAATCGTATGTTATTTTTACTTACACCCACCCACTCACCTACACACACACACACACACACACACACACACACACACACACACACTCACTCTCTCTCTCTCTCTCTCATCTATCAATGCAGGTTAAAAAGACATCCTGAGATTCAAAAGTGAATAATGATGACATTAATTACAATAGAATTTGTGCCAAAACATTTTCTGTCACTTACCTCAAATCATCTGAGAGTGTTTCAAGATGCAGTTGTAAGTCTCCCTTTTTCCCCTCAGCACACTAGACATTGCAGCACTTTTTTCTGATGTCTTGTATTAAAACTTTTCCATTGTGCTCCAGGATACTTAAATAAAAACAAAACAAGAAACACTCAGAATGAAAATGTCACTTCAAGTGGTTGGTAGGTGGCTCAGGGGAAATCCCTGACCTTTCTCCAATGTATATTTTATTTCCTAAAGCAACTGTGTTAACTACCCAGAGTAGAAGCACTCTGACGACTGTTCTGTAGGTTGCACTTTTTCCCCCCAGTTGCCTTAAACAAATGTAAAGTATTTTTAAAAAATCATGTTCTCTGGTACACTATATTGTAATATAGTATGGTCATTAATGAACCAATGAGTACCTCATTCAACAGAATACAAAATACAGAATACAAAAAGGAAAGAACCACTGTAGCTGCAAATCAGAAAAATGTGTTGTGTTAAATAACAAACTGCTACAGTAGATAATGATCATTCATGATTATTATTTAAGGAAGCTTTATGTGAAGTTTGATTGACTGCCTAAAGATCTACACTGTTCACTTTGTCACATTCATCTTTTTTAATACCCTAATATGTGGGAAAATATCAGACCAGACAGTAAATACGTACAACAATATTTTGGAATTTACAGAACACAAGACAGACTGGCTGAAGGAGGGAGGAAAGAAGGGTGGGAGGGTGAGTGAATAAGTGAGAGAATCTGCTGACTCTCTGATTTGATACAATTTTGATATTCCCCACAGTCACCAAAAAGGCATGAATGTTTTTGATTTTAAAGTAAGAGATTAAGAGTTACATCAGCATGCTCAATCTCCTCTTGATTGTCGTAAAACAACAGATCATGTTTACCCTCATGTACAACCATTTATGACAGGGATGCATTTGGTCCAGTATTTAAGGTTTAAGCTGTCTCTTGCAGTATTAAATGACTTAGTGCTTTGAACCAGCACTGAGTTCATTTTCTCTTTGAGAACCCTTCATCCCATTTCGCAATCCCCTTTGGATTCTGGGCATGTTAGTTATTGTTTTATAAACAAATTTTAGAACTGTATTTGGAATTGCTATACAAAATGTATAGCTAAATTCTCCCCTCAGTTACACCTGTGAAACCCCTACTGAAGTCAAGGAAGTTTCACAATGTGATAGAGGACAGAATTTGAGCTTATGTGTATTTAAGCCAAACTGTTTGTTTGCTTTTTTCCTGCTATGTCAGACAGGCAGCACTGAATAATTTTTTCCGTTGTTTTTAATTAAGAAACGGAGTCATTATCCACGTCTCTCTGGGGCTGTGCATTCTTCTGCAAACAAAAAGTAACTTTTCCAAAAGTGGTGAGTGATTCAAAAAGTCAAATCAATGATGGTGCATCTCCAGTTGTAAAAAATACCGGGAACAAAAACTGATGTACACCTCTACCCCAATATAACACGACCCAATATAACACGAATTCGGATATAACGTGGTAAAGCAGCGCTCTGGGGGGGCGGGGCTGCGTGCTCCGGCGGATCAAAGCAAGTTCAATATAACACGGTTTCACCTATAACACGGTAAGATTTTTTGGCTCCCAAAGACAGCATTATATCCAGGTAGAGGTGTACTAAAGAGAGGGCAGAAGTACCCCTAAACCCCTTACTACTTTTATTTTAGTATCCGCACAGAAACGACGTATTTCACCAGTCCCTAAAGCAGTTTACATTACATACAGAACCCCAAACGTCCTGTTTAAGTAACTATAGGCCTTTCCTGCCCCCACTGGTCTCATCTGTGAAGGGCTGATTCACATTGATAAGCATTGATGTGAGTGACTGCACTGACTTCAAGGAGACTACTCTCACTCAGTGTGACTAGGGATTGCACAGTTAGGCCCACTGACCTGTGGGAGCAGGATGAGACCCTTTAAAGCTGAGACCCAAATACTGAAAAGCCTGGAAGTTCAAAGTTAAGGAAGGAAGACAATCTGTCTATGCTTCACCTCACCTTGCAAACAGGATTAATTCAAGACAAAATGTAATGGGCACAAGTTACTGGCTATCAGCTTTTACTATGAACTTCCTGGCTTCCCTCTGTGTTTGTGTCACAGTCTTTGTGTTATTTAAATAGAAGGGACGGAAGGTTGTATTTTAAGATCTACAGGAACATCAAATTCTTTTATTCTTACTTACTTTTCTTTAATTTTTTAAAATAAATAAATAATGTTCATTTCGGGCCAGATTCCCTGCTCTGCCACAGACTCCTTATGTGACCTTGGGCCAGTCACGTAACATAACATCTTCAGACGTGTCCAAGACTTTCAGTGAGATGCAAGCTCCTAAGGCCCAGACCCTCAAAGGTATTTAGACGCCTCACTCTCAATGGGAGTGAGGCGTCTAAATACTTTTGAGGATCTGAGTCTTAGGCTCCTAAATCACTTACATACTTTATAAATGTTAACTTTAATCTTTCTGTGCCTCAGTTTCCCATATGTATACTGGAGTCAGTAGTATGACCTTACCTCGCAGTGAGGAGTTGTGAGGATACACATAACAAAGATTGTAAGACACTCAGATACTATGGTAATGGGAGCCAGCGCCAAGCACAATGGCTAGGTGATAAATAAATATTATTACTAACAGCAACAATATACATCTAAGTAGGTAAGTGACAGACACTCTTAACACATGTTAAATAACACCTTAATCAACAAAACAACCCACTTAAGTCCAAAAGACCCCTTGTAGAGCGAGGTGCTACTCAAAATAAGTAACAGTATCAGAATCTGGTCCTTAGAAAATACAAGCTAGGAAACTCTTTGCTGGGTTGTACTTTTATCAGCACTACTGCCTTTTCCAGAGCTCTCTGAGCAAAGCCATCCGTAGAAGGATGAATGGTTTCACAGAACTGTTTTATAGCTGCTTGAATCCAGAAGCTGGAAAAACACCAAATATCGTGAGAAAAAACACCAAATATCGCAAGATTTCTGATAAAATGGTGCGAGTTGGAAACACTGTTAAAGAGTCTTTCTGCTGGATTGCTTCATACTTGCATTTGTCTGAGGGTGTTGTCTGTGCTAAACTGACCAAGATAGTTTTCCATCCCCGGCAATTTGTACTTAATCGTTTTAACATGTCTGACTACAATCAAAACCAACGAAAACCACAACAGTGGAAACAAAGAATCAAGAAAAGAAAGAAATTAAACCCCAGGATGCACTACACAGGAAGAGTTAGATCATGCCTCCCCCTGTGTGACTGCACGGGGGCTGGGAAGAGAGGGTACAGTGAACTGCTCCCCTGCACAAATGCTCTCACACTGACGCAGACAATACATCTCCAAGTCCTGGGGGGGAGAGAAGGGGTAGAGATGACTAGAACTGCCTGCACTACTTACTAGTTCCAGAGGTGATTCTGGACAGGGAATGGGCAGAGCCAGGCTCCACTCCCATGTGCATCAGGATGCAGACTAAGGTAATCCAGAGCCCTAGAGACACCCCCATGCCACACAAGGAGGGAGAAATGGTGACGGCCAGATTGCTCCCCCCAGACAGTGGTGGGAGTGGCAGCAGGGTGCCTTTTCCTCCACTCAAGCAGTGGCAGGGCCTCTCACCTCAAAGAGGTGCTCTGGTGATGTTGATAGCATTAGTTGGCTTCCTCTCTGGCATTAGTGTCTGCTGCTGGTCTTCCCTGCACTGGAGGCTGTCTGCAGACTCAGACGTCTGCTGCACTCAGATTCTAAACATCTTTGCAAATGAGAGGACCAGAAAAATACATTCTTTTTAAAAAGAGACCCTGAAAGCTGCGGTGGTGACTTTATCACATGGCTTTTGCAGCTGTGGCCCTAAGGCACATGCCTGTTGTCTACAGGCCTTCATCCAGCCTTGGCTGGAGTGTTTGCTAATTATGTTAAAAGATGTAGCAAGACCTGTGCTACACTATGCTTCTCCTCGTGCCCAGGCCCATACTTCGCTTGCTTTAAAAAACCTCTGAGTTCCGATACTGGAACCACTGCGCTGCCACCACCTAAATGATTATTGTCTACACCTCCTATCTGGACAAGCTGGTGCCGGAAATAAGGTTCTTTTATAAAACTTCAATATGCACATGAAAAATGATAAACACTATATTTAAACAATTATAATTGTCTGAGGTAAGTACACACTGATGTTACAAAGAGAGAGAGGTAGCGAAATATGTAAAACCTGTGTATGGTCTGCATATTTAAATGTAGGGCCTCTAGAAAAATTAAGAAATGCTGTGTCCCTTGAGATGGATTTTGAAGGGAGCAGAGCAGCTATCAGAGCACACAGCCTTGAGGTTCTTCTCTCTCTTACTCTCTGCCTTAAAAAGGAGCCAACTCAGCATTTAAAGATGAGATCTGTACCTTGAACTCCACCCCACCTGTAGGCTGGCTATGTTAGGCTGGATTTTCAGTAGCATGTGTTTGTTTATTGATAGGTAATTGTCCACAGAGTGAACAATCTAGGTCATTTAGCTATGTTAAAATAGATTTCCCCTCATGCCATGGGAAACAGGTAATTTTAGCAGAAACTTTCTGTAGCATCCTTTGTTACAGGGAACACCAGAGATCATATCATTAACATTCTTCAGCTCTCTGGAGCCGACCAGCCTCCGACCAGCAGCAGCACCACAACTAGCAAGAGAAGATAATGCTTTTAGATGCCAACAAGGCCATTAGTTGCAGTCAGGGAAGCAACAAAAGCCTTAATGTGGAATAACAAGGGCCTGGGTGCTAGAAGAATTGGTCAGATTTAAAAGAACTATTTAAGCCAACCCCCTTTCTTTAACGAGAAAGAGACAGGATACGGAAGTAGATGAAGTTCCCATGTCAGCTGCCATGCCACATATTACTGAGAAGATTTGTAATTGTTAGTGTTTTGTTATTCCCCCATCATCTGTATTTCCACTTCCTTTTCTTCAGCATGAATCACTACACAAGAATTTCAACAAATAATGGGATTGGTAATCAACTCTGTGGATTGCTGACTGTCCAATCCAGGAAACAAGGTTTGTCACACTTGTCAGACTGACTCTCACACGTATCCTACTGGGGTAATAGCACATTTTTTTAAAAGATGTGTAGTATAGCATCAAGTACATACAATATCAAG